CCAGCCGTTATGCAACTCCCAAGGTAGACTACTTCCAGGGTGTCATTACCCAACGAAAGCACAGGAATGAGTTCCTGCCAATCTTGCAACAACACTTTGCGCTTTGAAGGTGAAAATGAGATACCATAGCGAGTAACCTCAATTACCAAACGGTTTAACAACTCGAATCGTTGATGCGTTGTCATCCAGTAAGGCAATATCATCGGCATACTCTAAGTCTACGACTCTGTCCATAGGAAGAAACCCGACGCCAGCGTTTGTTACATTATGTAACAAGTTTTGTAGAACATCTTCTATGGCAAATTTGAAGAGAAACGGAGGGACAGGGCAACCCAGTCGCACCCCACTGGTGACAGGAAATGAGGGTGAAAATTCACCATAGGCCCTAGCATACCCCGAGGTCTGGCGATAGAGCGCTTTTAGGAGTGAGACATACTTCTCGGGTACACCGTATCTCCTCAAACAGTTCCATAGCGCGGGGCGATCGATAGAGTCGAAAGCCGCTCTGATGTCTAGAAACACAACACTGGTTTGTCGTCTGTACGCGTGGCGGTGTTCTAGTAGCTGTCAGAGGGTGAAGATTTGATCTACGCATCGACCACGTGCACGAAACCCGGCCTGCTCCTCGCGGATTTGCTTCTCACGGAATGACCATAACCTGCGTAATAAAACGGACGCCAGCAACCTAGGCGCTATTTTAATCAGACTTATACCCCTGTGGTTGGAACAGGCGTTGCGACAGTCGTTCTTGTAGATGGGTATAACAATCGAATCTCCCCATGTTTGGGGTACACTTTCATTTTCCCACATCTTCGAGAATAGTCTCACAAGCTCTCACACGAGAGCTTCCCCGCCATCTTTAAAGATGGCATGTGGCAGTTCGTCTGATCTTGCTGCCTTGTGGCGTTTCAGTCCTTGGAGTTCCTTTCGAACCTCCGCTTCTTTAGGCGGTCCCGTGGATAGAGACTAGGGTGCACTCACAAGAGAACTAATTGAGGCAGCCAGAGCGCGGGAAAGGGGACGGTGGTTGATTCAATTGCAATGCGAATTGCTCTGAACAGCGTTCTAAGCGTCGGTGAAGGCTGTTTATTAGCGTGCCATCTAACTCGCAGATTGTTCCACTAACGCACTGTCTTTTGCGGCCTGTAGCACGGATGAGCTGGAAGAGTTGCCGGGTGTCTCCACACCTAGCCGCTAATTCCATCTTTTTTACACGTAGCGTCCACTAGGCCTCTCTGTCATCTCTCAAACTCTTTGTGGGTTCACGCTTCAGGAAGAGGCGCTGTTCGTCGTACTCGCGCTCTGCATGGATTTCCCGACGCTCATCGAGGAGTCTGAGAGAGTTGGAGGAGACCCAGTGATTCACAACTCAGCGGGTTAGGCCACAACTGTGTAAACCGGCTGAGTGTATTGCATTTTGAATGGCTGTTCAGTGTTGATCTACGCTACTTGGTGGGATAGTAGTTAGCCTTGCGACCAACTCCCTTTGGTAATCGGCTAGTACGACTGAGTCCTTCGGCTGGTGGTTGAACTGAGAGGCGATCGGAGAACGCCGCTTCGAAGGTCGATTTGTAACAATCGCTGACATTGTATCGTAGGTATCCGTTGTCGGTGGCTTTCTTGCGGTTGTTTGCCAGGCGTACTGAGAAATCGGCTCGTAACAAGGCACGATCTGTACCCACAGGTGTTGACCAGTAAGAGCGGCAGTCTTGAATCGATCCCCCCAGCGGTAACTGATGACGATGTAGTTGATTTGGGTCCAGCGCTGTGAAGCGGTTGATGATGTGGTTTCTTGTGCGAGAATTTCGTGCTTGACAGAAACAGTCCATGGTCCGCGCAGAGTTGAAGTAGGCGGTCTCTGTTATTCGTCCGGTTGGCCGGGATTGCATGCGATCCACCAAGAAGCCTTTGTGATTCGTCCAGGGATCCCACTTGAGCATTGAAGTCCGGCGATTACCACTATATCGGTTGATCGAACGTATTGAATTAATCGAGAAAGGTCCTTGTAAAATTCATCCTTGATTTCAGGTGTACTGCAATCGGTCGTTGCATGCACTGATATGACGAACAAGCATCGGCGCTTCGTTCTGTAGCTGTTGACCCCTGCTGAACCGTTGAGACGTACAGCGCACAGTTAGTTACTGCCTGGAATTTAGTCAAGAAGCGAGCGCTCAGCTTTGGCGCTTAGCGCAATCCCGACACNCCGACACCAGCAACATCGCGAGCTTTGGATGCCGAATCGCCTGACACACGCAGAGTGAAGCGTGAAGCGGATCTGGAGAGCGGAGGGAGATGATTCAAGTAGGGTCTTGTATGCGTGTTTCGGAGACGCAGCATTTATCTAAATGGAAGGTTTCAGGGGTTCTAACCAAGGCAGCTTGTTAACCGATCTGGTAGAGTGTGCGGACATTGAACGCGGCTGAGTGAAAAGGGAATTTCGGCTTCAAAAACCCTGTAACTTCTGAATGTCTGGACTTGTTGATAAAACACTGAGTGATATCCGATGGGGCTTGTAAATAGCAGGCGTTTGGGATTATTCGGGATTGAGAGGAAGAACTCGACAGATGGGAAGGAGGGTTGTCCAAATGGGTGCCTAAGACTTTAGGGCACGACATACTTCGCGGTAGCCCAAACTGACGAAGGGGGTTCTCTTTGGGAACCCTAACCGGAGCCTTTGACTCAAAAGTTTGACCCACAAAGCAGTGTGGCGTAAATCCAACGCGGAAGAGTGAACGAAACACCCTTGTGGGAGCTTCTGGGGATCTGTCACGCAAGGCCTTTGAATTTCGATTAGTTTTGTTCGCTGGTGCGTTGATTATCGGTCCGCTGTTCGGGATCGGCTCTTAGCCTCATGCACCCAATGAGACAAGCGGAACGTGGACAGGACAGCACCTTATTGGCTAGGGGCTGTCCAGCTTGGGTGGGTTGTAGCTGCCCAATGAAGTGCGAAGACTTCTCCCACCGTCGAGTGGAAGTCCCAGGTAACCAGCTCTTACGCCCATCTGGCGGGGATTTTTTGACCGGTAAACTGCCCTTCACCGTGTTTATTTGCTGCAGTGACCTCTCCAGGGGCGGGTGTGAATAGAAGGAATCCAGGAGGTGTCCAAGCAGTTGGCCTTGTGAGACTGAGCTTCGTGTGGCCTCTACTCGTTGACCTTTCAGGCATGATTGGATCTGCGGCTGTGAAAAGCCATCCGGTGTAGCTCGCGGGATCATGGAGGCACGCAAGCCATCACCACGTCAAGGTGCAGTCTGAGCGGCGTCTTAGTTCATGAAGTTGTAGAACAAAGAAGTCAACTTCATAATCATCCGGCTTCATGTCGTGCCTATTCGTTCTCTTTTGGAATTCCATTCCACTCCAATCCCTAAAACTGCTCGATATGCAAGCCATACCAGTGTGAAGGTAACCGAGATGGTGGTGGCAGTAGTTTAGTCGCTGTCACNCGGCGTGCTTTGGACCCTATGGTCCGAGGTTCAAGCCCCGCCGCCCAACTTTGGTGGTAGACAGCTTTGCTGTCGTCCGGTTCAATACCACGCCTAACCTATCGAAGCCTAATGTGATTCGCCACTTCAAGTCCCGGGGCTTAGGTTGCCGGTTTCCACCACTGAACAGCCGGTCCTCGTGACTGTGGGGTTCGCGCCGTCTGCTGTTCATCACACCTAAGTGTGTAGTAAAAAAAGCTTTGGCGGGACGATGCAAAGACAGCTTATCCTGAATGGCCAACGAGATCTACTACTTAATCCAAGGGTTATGATGGAATCCTGTCCAACTAACAATAATGCATGCACCCCTCGGTTGCATCTACATCTACGAAACGGCAAATGAGCTCCTAGCCGTCGGCAACCATGTACCAATTTAATGTTATCTTGCAGTTCACACTTGTCTGGGCTAAGGCCTGAGGTATGCCCTCGAAACAAAACGCGGAGTGACGCTCGGAGCATCTGTGGTACCGCAATCCCACGAAACCCATCAGGTTTAAACCTGCTAGCACTTCGAATTCAAATAAGTAGGCTTCGTTAGCTTGGGCACGTATTGCATATGCCCAGTTATCGTTTACCACATCGCGCCTTATTCACTGTAGCCGTTCTGGGCTGGAGGAAACCACGTGGAGGTCAACAGATGACGTGGAAGCGAGGCACGAAGAAATGCACAGAGCGATTAGGTAGAATTATTGTCTCCTGTGTTCCAGGTAGGGGTCCGAAAGACCCCGCAACTGGTTGGTTGGAGATATTGAAGGAAATGGCAGCGAATCGACACCAGTGGCGTTCTTGTTGTCATTTCTTATCAAACCAGAATGCTTGAAACAGTATGCATGCGGAGCTATCCAAATGGGCAACCAAAACCGGCGCACGAAAGTGCATGAATAATGGTTGTAAGAACTGAACTGATCAGTTAAGTTCGGTTCACTGTATTTCGCTATACCATGATGATGGGGGAACTCACGAAAATCCATCACTATCATACAACGGGTTTATCCTCTCCAAGGGTCAGCTCCAGTGAAGTCTGAAAATACGCATTATGTTGGGTTTTGAACGGCAGCAAACCCTTTGTGCTTCACTTTTATGAGTTTCGTGTCATCTTCTACACTACACAAAAACGAAATTGTTATTGGTAACCTTATTCTTACGCATATCTCTATCGTACTGGTACCAGAAGAATCACTGGACAATAGATGAACTATCAGAGAATAAATGAATGCATGAACGAACCATTTGGGGGGCGTGTTGTCTGGGAATTATCTTGCGTTAGTCCGAAAATAGCATATGACCATCGGACATTTGTGCTTTTTTTATTTACTTTGTGCTATCATCTTACCCCCCCCCGCTATCTACCTATTGGTAATCTACCTTGTTCTCTGTCAACTTTAGAGTGCGGATCCTAATAGTCGGTTCTTCTACCCTCGTCTCAAAGGTGAGACGGAAGAAGACCTGAAAAACAAATGTATCTTCCCTAATTATGTGGCTATCTATCGACCGGGCGTGTTGATGGGACCGCGCGAGGAGTCCAGATTCTTCGAAAGTGTCGCGAAAGTACTACTCAAACCGATTGCCACCCTGGCTCCGACCTGGATTACCACTCCGATCTCCACATTAGCACAGGCTATGGTGAACGCACCGTTCAGTTTGCGCTCGGTCATTCGGGATGAGGCACGCAAACCTGGCTCCTCCATTGAACTAGACGATCTGAAGGCTATCACTGTGAACAATACGATCATTTTCAAACTGGCCAATGAACCAGTTCCTTCAGAAGCTCCGACTGGCGGAGATGTGCTCAAGTGAATGAACGAATTAAACCCAATGATACCAAGAGCTGAACTAACATTTTTCGCCCACACTGGTATTTCATCAATGGGACTGCAAAGTTTTATTCTTTACTGTCCTGCCGAATTGCAGATTTCATTGTTCGCCATCGATTTTTCACTCGTTTATATCTGATACGTATC